GGGCTCCCAGCCCTCCACCCTCTCGCACCTCCGCAGATCCCACCAGTGATCCTGGTTATATGGTCCTATCCTGCTGCTTTTCTGTTGCTTTTTTTCTGAGGATTTGCTTTATTTTAGTTTTAATTCCTGTTTGGTCCTGGGAGATGGTCTGTGTAGCTTCTATTCCCTCCACCTCCATTTTTCACATCCTCTATGCCTATCTTGTGTGCAGCTGGATTGCACAGGCCTTTCTGGTGCCCCTGCACCCTGCAGGTCCCGTGGTAACTGGATTGCACAGGGGACCAGGCTCCATGCCTATGTTGTGGGCTTCTGGATCTCACCAGCCTCTCTGTTGCCCCTGCACCCTGCAATTCCCACAGGCAGGCAGCTGGATCACACCAGCCTCTCTAGGGCTCAGGCTTCCCACCGCTGTTGTGAGCTACTGGACTGCACAGGCCTCTGTGGAGCCCCAGGTCCCACTGCTGGCTGCTGGGGATGCTGCTGCCCCGTGGGGCTCAACTCCTGCTCAGCTTTTGGTGTAGTTTTTGGGGATGGGTCTCAGCTGCTGGTCTGTGCTTCTGTTGCCTGGGGATGAATGTCTGCTCCTCAGCCTCTGTTGATGGGCATATATCTTGACTCTGATGGGGCTGCTACTATGGGGGATGGTGCTGGGCTCCAGGCTGTCCGTAGCTTCCGCGACTGGCACCTTGGGAGCTCCACTACTGTGCACTGGTCTGTGTTGACACAGAGTGTCCATTGGTCTGATGGTGCCAGGTGTGCTGGTGGGCTCCGGTTGCTGGGCCCTAGCTGCTCCCACTGCCTCCTCCCAGGAAAGACCCGGGATCTTCCAAAATGGTGGGACCTCCCGCGGTGCAGGGAGAAGACCCTGAAGGGCCGCTCACCGCGGTAGCCAGCTGCTCTGTCCTTAGCACAGGAACTTTCTGCTCTGCATCTCTGCACTGCTCAGGTTTGGTCATCCACCTTCACATCCACTCACTCTCTCACACACTCACTCACTCTATGACACACTCACCCTCCCTCTGGTCCTGCCTGCTGCCATCTCAATAATGAGATATTTTAATCTGTTGTTATAGTAAGTCTTCAAAATTCAGTATCATGTGTCTCTATTTGTTATCACCACATTTCAAGTGATACACACACACACACACACACACACACACACACACTTGGTTCTGTTTCTTGGGAGAACTCTGACTCGTATGCCTCCTAATACAATCACATTGGAAGTTAGTATTTTGACATATGAATTTGGGGGCAACACAAATATTTAGTCCATTGTACTCAGTTTAATGATTTCCCCATTGAGGGATGTCTTGGTTGTTTTCAGTTCAGGTGATTATCAATAAAGTTGTTTTAACATTTACACACAAGTTTTTCCATGAACATAAATTTTCAGTTTATTCGGGCAAATACTTGGGAATGTTATTGCTGGGTTAAAGTCTATGTTTAACTTTACAAGAGTCTGCCACTTGACTTCCAAAGTAGCTATACTGTTTGCATTCCCACCAGAGACATGAACAAGAGTCTCTTTTGGTACATGTCCTCAGAAGTAGCTGATATTGCCAGATTTTTAAAAAAATTTAGCCATTCAGACAGATGTTAAATTGTCTTTTAATTCTATTTCAAACAGTTCTTTGTTATTTGGTCATTACCTAGTTTTATTTTTATTATTTTGTGATTAAAATTTGTAAATTTTTCTTTGTATTCCAGAAAATATAAAATTGCACCCGGATGTCTCTGTATGCCTTCCTGCCTCCATTGTTTTCCTAAGAGAATTACTTAAATCACATCAAAACAATTTCATTAATATATGTTGAAGCTTTGCTTTTTCCCTACCTACACAACTGTTTGTGAGAGCTATGTATTGTGGAATTTGAATCATCCATTTATCTTGTTCACAAACTTTTATTTTCTGATAACAGGCATTTGTTTAAATTTTTCTTTATGCTTCATGAAACATTTTCAAGAAATTCCTTCAATTTCCACTTTTTCCCTGATTTATTTGGGTTTTTATTGCTGCTTTTGTTTGTTTCTTTGCTTTCCAAAAGTTCCTTTTATGTAGCAATTTCACTTAATTTTACCAAGTAAATATAATTAGACATTAATTTTTTAAATGAATGATTTTAGATTAATTAAATTAAAAATTTTAAAGCATTGATCCCATATTTTGTTTTGTTTTGGAGGTCATTGGCTCTAATATCCCATCTCCCTTTCTCCTGCTCTTTGATTTGCTCATTCTCTGCATATTCTTTGATAATTTGCGGTTATTTGTATTCAGAAATGGGGGTCAGTTTTAGTAGGTTTAAAAACCAGTATAGCTTCCCTTATAATGTTTCCAGAATACTACTGAGTGTCCTAGCTTTCTATAAACAGGTCAGTGTTTTATGGCAAGAGGGTAGACGAGGGTGAATTTTCCTGGAGGAGGAGGGATGAGACTAAGTCAATGAACAAGTTGTTTACCAAGATACAGATTCACTGGGGATTTCTAAGAGCAAGTGGTTGGCCTGGAAGTACTGTGAGGTCAAAACTATAAATTCATCATTGCGTTGTTTGTGCCAGATAAAGGGCACAAGAAGATACATATTTTAGTCCGGAGCTTCATGTGTGGTTCTGGAAATAATTATGTTTTCTTCTCATGACTGATTTCCAAATGATTCATTCTCAGCTGATGGTAGTAAAGTCTGAAAAGGTAGAGGCTTTTTGAGTAATTAGTATAGAGACTGACTAAGAGTGTGGTGTCAGTCCCAGGGCTGCCTTAACAAATGCATACAGACTGGGAAGCTTAAAACAACAAAATTTATTCTCCCACAATTCTGGAGGATAGGAGTCTGAAATGTAGGTGTTTACAAGGTTGGTTCCTTCTGCAGGCTCTGAGGGAGAACATGCTCCGTGTTTGCCTCCTAGTCTCTTGGTGAGACTTATAGTCGCCAATTCCAATCTAAGACTCTGTTTTCACATGGGGTTCTTTCCTGTGTATCCAAACTAGCTTCTGCTTATAAGGAAACCAGTCTTGCTGATTTTGAGTGCACCCTCATGCAACCCGACCTCGCTTACCTTGACATCTGTGAAGACCTTATTTCCAAGGTCTTCATGCACAGGTTCCAAATAAACATGATTTCTGAAGAGATACTATTCAACCCAGTAGAAATGACAGGAGATTAATTTCACAGCTGTGTGGAAGCTGTTTCCCCAATGCCCGTGTTTTCAGTGAACAGAAGTTAGCAGGAAACTCCGGGCCTTTGCTCATTGATACTTAGCACATGAAGAGTATGAAATGGGCAAGTCTTTCATCTTATTTATGGCAGTTTAATCAAATAAAGGTTGAGAACAGGCTGGTACAAAGCACTGTGTAGTTTACAAGCTGAACTTTAATTTGTCTTCTCACAAACTGTCCCAGAATCCCTCTTTCTTTTTTTGCCCTGGTACTGAGATTGTCTCTGAGAGGTGGGAGGGGGGCCTTCTTTTTACTTTGGTTGAATGCTTGGCATGGGTACTAAAGACTTATTTGTAGATCTGCCAGATTTGCTTAAGATGGTACAAACATTCTTAAATTTTTATCTCAGCTTACTCTTATTTTCCTACACTACAGATATTCTTTTACCTTTTTCTTCTTTTGTATAATTTTGGTCACATTAATGAGCCTTTATGCATCAGGAAAATACGTTCTTATGTTTAGTTTGCCATCTTCAGAGACCCTGGAGACAGTCTCTTACTGTCTTTACAGTGTCTAATTTTGTGACTGCACTTAGCAGGCATTCATTCAAGAAGTCATTGTAAATGCATTTTTAATTATAGACATTAAGTATGTGTTAGTGAAGGAGAATTTTGGTGAATGGAATATATTTCTTGTATCTTTGAAATCACACAGCACTTCGAATTGTGAAACTAAGACAGATGCAAAGAAACTAGTGGGAAATATAAAAATGTATTTAACGCTGTCATGTGGCAGGAAATATGAAAGGCTGTTTCAAACACCTTAGTCTTAGCAGCAATTCTATGAAACCAGAATTTCTCCCACTTTATAAATAGGGAAGCAAAATGACGTTAAGTAATTTGTTCAAAGTTATGTAGCTAGTAATTGATAAAGCCAGGATTCAAACTCAGGTCTTCCGGAATCAAAATCTATGTTCTTCCTGTTACACCTCCTTACCATTCTTGTGCAGTCATGGTTCTGCTGGGACCAAGAAGGTGCACTGTTCCTTATACACTCTTGGCGGACATTTCTCATCTTATCCCATATGTATTTACAGACTTATGGATTATTCCGGCAGAACCTGACAACCCTCACCTTATAACTCAGAAATTCTCTGAACCGTTCTGTGTGGCTCCCTGGTACGATCAAGGCAGACACAGAGGCGAAGGAGCACTGATCCCCCAACACACAACGTGAGTTTCTAGGATTGTCCTCCCTCAGCTAGATCTTACCCATCAGCTGCCTAAAGTCCCAACCACATTGTCCTCCTCACCCGTGGACATTTTTTGATATTTTGTTCAGACAGAATGGGAGGGAGAGAGAGAGAGAGAAACATCAATGTGAAAGGGCACATTGAGTGGCTGCTACTCACATGACCCAACCAGGGCCGGGGACAAACTGCAACTGAGGTACGTGCCCTTAGAGGGAACCAAACCGGGTCTCTCCGGACCGCAGGCTCACACTCTAACTGCTGAGCCAAACCGGCCAGGGCTGTCCTCTTTTTTAAAGAAATGCTTGCTAAGTACTTCATATGTTCCAGGAATTGTTTTGTGCGTGTTCTGGAAACTTGAGGGAAACACCTGTGTCAAGTCAGGAACAAGCCATTAAGCTCTTCGGGAAGGGTGAGATCATTGCGCCAATTAGACCAAGGGTGGTGCGCCGTGCCCAGATCAACTGGCCTGGTTCCACATCACTGAGAAGGAAAGGTGGGGGAGGGCTTAAATAGAGTGAATAAGGTGGTAAGAAGGGGTTAAAGAGCAATCTCATGTGTGTGTGTGTGTGTGTGTGTGTGTGTGTGTGTGTATACCTTGTTCACTTGAGCTCGAAGCTGGTGACTCTCAATGAAGTGAGGAAGTTCGTTGGCAATTTCCATCCAAGGCCTGTAATGATTGGGAAGTTCTCTCTGCATTAAAAAGAGAAACATCTCAGTATTTTAGACCTGAGAATCAGCTTCCTTGAGACGCTGCTTTCAGCTTTTACTCTCACTGGCTGGGCCCTGGGCTCAGCACCGCAGACACACAGGTGACTAAACTATAATCCTTGTGCTAAGGGACATATACAGTGATACCTCGGTTCTCGAACATAATTCGTTCCAGGAGGACGGTCGAGAACCGAATTGTTCGAGAACCGAAGCAATGAAACCCAATAGGAAAGCGGACTCCACAAAGCGTGACTCTCTCTCTGCACTCACACTGATGACGCAAGCAAGGTGCGCTGGGCCGAATGAACGCCGTTCGGCTCAACTCGGAAGTTCGAGTTCCAAATATTTGTTCGGATTCCGAGACAAAAGTTTCTCGAATCCTGATTTGGTCGAAAACCGAGGCGTTCGAGAACCGAGGTATCACTGTAGTCTATTAAAGGAGAAAAAAATGTAGTCAGATATGTCTCAAAATAATGTTTAATTACTGATGTGTGTATAAGCCTAAGAACTTGCCAAGAGGAAAAAGTGTTTAATTCTATCAGCTGTGGTGGGGTATGAAAGGGAAGTCTGTGCAGGAATACAGCAGTTGGGGCCAGTTGTAGAATCTGCAGTGACTTTTCCAGGTGGAAATTTGAAGATGGGAAGGCAGTGAGGGGGATAGTGGATCAAGAGAGACAGTTGTCTTCTCGGGACTATAAACGATTCAGTGTTACTAGAACATAAAGCTCAAGGAAAGGATGATGGAAGATGAGACTATAAAATCAGATCAAATGTGCTTTTAATAGAACATAGAAGAATTTTCTTTTTATGTAAGTTGATCCCATTATTTGATGACTATTAGAAAGTTAATTTTGTTTGTAGGATTTTAAGACATGCAATCAGATTAGGAAGCCTTTGAAATACTGTTCAAGGAACAGTATTTTGCTAAACTTAAGCAATGGCAATGAATGTGGGAAGGAGAAGTCATGTATTCAAAAAATATTTCAAAAGTAAAATTGAAATGATGTGATGATTAAATTATAAGGTGGGGGTGATAAAAGCAAGATGATTCCTATCTGCATAGCACCTGATATGTGCCCTCTCTGGGCCCAGGATTTAGCTAAGCAGAGCAAAGTCTGGATTATAACAACCCCGACTCAATCCCAGGAACTGACAAAATACAGTTATTGCTGTAATTAAAAACTTGTATTGGAACACAACCACAATCATTTGTTCACATATTGTCCAGTGCTACTTTTTATTACAGCAGTGGGATTGGGTAGCTGCAACAGTTATATCAAAGCTTAAAATATTTACTGTTCAGCTCTTTACAAAAAAGTTTAGCAACTCTGATCTATCCCAGAGTCTGGGCCTCCCTTTTGGGAGTACGCTCTGCACAACTGAATGTTGTATCTCTGGGTAAAGAAACAAAGGAGGTGAGGATGATTTTCAGGTTTGTGAATTAGGTGACTGAATGAATTGGTGGTAACACAAATTGAAACAGAAATGCAGGTGGAAGTCAAAGAGAGGGCAGGGCATAAGGATAGTGAATTTCTTTCTTTTCTTTTTAATATTTTTTAATTCATTCTTTTAGAGAGAGGAAGGGAAAGGGAGAGAGAGAGAGAGAGAAACATCGATGAGGGAGAACATCAATTGGCTGCCTCCTGCATGCTCCTCACTGGGGATTTGGCCCACAACCTGAGCATGTGCCCTGACCAGGAATTGAGCCAGCAACCTCTGAGTGCATGGGTCGATGCCCAACCACTGAGTTACACCAGCCGGATGTGAATTTCTTTTTTAGATAGATACAACCTAAAATATCTGGAATATCCAAGTATAGTTGTATACAATTTGAAGTTCAGGAGAAAATTAATACTAGAAATATACAACTGGGAAATATAACTGTAACTATAACTCCATGTTGTGGTTAAAACCACAAAAGTGAGTAAGGTCATTCTGAAAGTTGCAGAGTGAAAGGAGAAGAAGGCCTAGACCAGCACACTGGAGGTTATTTATGAGGCAGAGGAACTGAATCTAGCAATACAGATCAAAAAGATGCTTATAATTGTTCAATGAGTCAGAGGAGAATTACCCTAGAGAAGTCATGACATGAGAGAATTTCACAGAACTAGGGAATTCAGAAAGTCAAATGCATCATTGGAAACTTAAAATAAGATTGTTCCCTTTGGGGAAAACAACAACAACAACAAAAAACTAGGAAGTCACTAATACATGTTAGTCTCCTAATATATATGATATAGAAATTTAGGTCACGGTCATGGAAGCAGGGTTTACATTTTTGTGTGCTGAACAAGTAAGACAATAAAGACCATATATGTAAATTACTTTTGGAGGAGCGCCATAGGCATTAGCAAAGGGGAAGTTTGTGCTTGAGACTATCACCATTTAGGAATGAGAAACATAAGCCATTTATAGTCTGCAACTGGAAGAGGGACAGACTGAAGAGAAGAGTTAAGAACGCTGGCAAGAATCAAGCAGAAAGATGTATGGAGCACTGACAACTTGTATTTTCTCTCATCTATATGATGCATGTTTAGGAACAAAAATGGAATGCAGTTACAGAGATAATGGAGTATAGTCATCAGAAAAGAAATATCAAAGATACAGGGTTGTAATATTCAGGTTTTTAAAGTGGGTTTTAAGAAAGTAAGATGTAACTAAGTCATCACTTCTGTCCTTTCGTCTTTGAGGCCCCGATAAGGAATCCTGCTCTGAGAATTGAGTTAAGCATCTGGATTTCTGCTTCCTGTCGTGCGTGGAAATTCTTAAATATTGCATTTTGCCTCAATCTAAGCATCACTCTAGTCTTTAATATTTACTTTTTCTTTCCCCTGAGATTGCTAGAGTATTTCCCTTTCTTCTCTTTTTCATCTATAAAAAGTTCTAAATTTTGGACTTCTGTATCACCCCACAACACAAGAAAACCATGAGCGTGGAGATCCTGTGGACTTTCCAGCTGTGGTCCCCAGTTCAGCAATTCTGGAATTATTGGGGAACTTAGAAATGCAGACCCGGAGAGAGGTCCCCACGCCAGACCTACTGAATCAGAAACTCTGGAGGGGGCCCAGCAGTACATGTCTTAGCACGCCCAGTAGGTGAAACTGATGTACCCTGAAGCTTAAAAACCACTGATGTGGTGACCTTGAAAGTGATCGTGAAGGGTAGAAAGGCCCCAGCTGGCGTGGCTCAGTGGTTAGAGTGTCAGCCTGCAAAATAAAAGTTTGCAGGTTTGATTTTTGGTGAAGATCATGTACCTGGGTTGCAGGTTCAATCCCTGGCCCTGATTGGGGTGTGTGCAGGAGGCAGCCAATCGATGAGTTTCTATTAATGTCTCTTTCTCTTTCTCTCTTTCTCCCTCACCCACCTTCCAATCTCTCTAAAAATCAATGGAAAAAAATATATATATAAAGAAGGGGAGAAAGGATTTAAAGATATTTTATACTTCATTAAAAACGTACTCCTCTTTTTGGCTTTTCCTAAGAAAGTATTGAATTCTGTAAATTATTTTTATTAAAGATACAGTGTGGGAGGAACTGAAAAAGACCCCGAAAAGCTGCAGCAAACTTGAGAAAGAAAAACAAAGTAGAAGGTATCATAATACCAGATATCAACTTATACTCTAAAGCCATTGTAAGAAAAGCAGGCATATAGATCAATGGACCAGAACAGAGAACCCAGAAATCCACTCAAGCCATTATGCTCAATTAATATTTGACAAAGGTGGCAACAGCATACAAGGAAGTAAAGGCAATCTCTTCAATAAATGGTGTTGGGTAAATTGGACAGGTGTGTGCAAAAAATTGAAACTAGACCACCAAAGTACACAATGCATAAGAATACACTAAAAAATGGATAAAAGAGTTAAATGTAAGTTGTGAACCCATAAAAATCCTAAAAAAAAAAAAAAAAAAAAATGTAGGCAGCAAAATTTCAGACATCTTACATAGCAGAATTTTCACTGATACATCACCAAGTGCAAGAGAAACAAAGGGAAAAAAATAAACACATGGGACTACATAAAACTAAACAGCTTCTGCACCGTGAAAGAAACCAGCATCAAAATAAAAAGGGAAACCATGGTATGGGAGAACATATTTTCCAAATGACACATCTCAGAAGAGATTAATTTCCAAAATATATTAAGTACTCATACAACTCAACTAAAGTAAGACAAAAACCCAATTAAAAAATGAGCAGGACCTGAATAAACACTTCTCCAAAGAGGACATACAGATGTCCAAGAGACATATGAAAAAATGCTCAATGTCACAAATCAGCAGGGAGATGCAAATTAAAATGACTATAAGGTATCACCTCACACCTGCCAGAATGGTTACCATCAACAAATCAACAAAAAATAAATGCTGGCAAGGATGTGGAGAAAAGGGTACTCTAGCACACTGCTGGTGGGAATGCAGACTGGTGCAGCCACTGTGGAAAACAATATGGTGTTTCCTCAAAAAAATAAAAATAGAACTTCCATGTGACTCAGTAATCCTACTTCTTGGAATATATTCTAAGAAGCCAGAAACATCAATCAGAAAGAATATATGCACCCTATGTTCATAGCAGCACTATTTACAATTGCTAAGATCTGGAAACAGTCCAAGTCCAAGTGCCCATCAGTAGGTAAGTGGATCAAAAAGCTGAGACACATTTACACAATGGACTACTATGCAGCTCTAAAAAAGTAAGATGTCTTACCCTTTGAGACGACATGGGGGGACCTGAAAAGTATTATGCTATGTGAAATAACCCATCAGAGAAAGACAAATATCACTTGATCTCACTTATATGTGGAATCTAATGAACAAAACAATCCTATGAATAAAATAGATCCAGAGGCAAGGAAACATGGAACAGACTGACAAATTTCAGAAGGAAGGGGTTGGGGGAGGGAAAATTAACCAAAGAACTTATATGCATATATGCATTGCCCATGGACACAGACAATAGGGTGGTGAAAACCTGGGCAAGGTTGG